CTTTCTCTTCTTCCTCTTCTGTATGCATCATGTAACCAAACTTCAGCCGAACTTTCCGGAGATTTATGTACAGGTAAACGGCCTATCTCCAACCTTTGACCTGATTCATGCTTGGAAATTCTCTCTCTCTCTCTCTCTCTCTCTCTCTCTCTCTCTCTCTCTCCTCTCTCTCTCTCTCTCTCTCTCTCTCTCTCTCTCTCTCTCTCTCTCTCTCTCTCTCATTAGTCTTCTTGCCCGTTATTGCTAGTGTGACCGCCCCTTCTGAACGCGGCCTGCGTTGCCCAGCACTATTAATTATCAGTATCATTACACGGAGGGAGAGGAAAATCAGCCGGGGGCGGTTGGGGGGGGGGGCATTCACTCTTATTCTGACAAGAATAGGAACGTGGATGTTGTTCGTCGAAAATGCCGGGTGTGTTTTTTGTTTGTTTGTGTTTTGTTTGTATCTTTTATGTGTGTGTGTGTGTGTGCGCGCGTACGTGGCGTGGGGCATGGGCTTGTGTGTTCGCGTGTGGTGTGTGTGTGTGTGTGTGTAGGCGCGAATGCGTGTATGTGTGCGCACGTGCATTCGTGTGCATGTTTAGGGGTACCACAACTCTTGAATCAGTGTTACGTGGGAAAAGCATACAATATGGTTAAGGGGAGTGTCTAGTGTCTATAATGTACGTACTGTATATATATTAATGTCTCGAGTAAGTGGTAGTTAGATATATCAAATGATCTTCGGAGTTCCCAGAATGGCAATAAAAGTCGCAGGAGGTGATAGATAGGCCTATTGGCTCTATGGGGAAATTTACACGAAATTTCAGTATTTTCTAGTGATTCTCTCGTCTTGGATTTCAGTATTCTCAAATATTATCTACGAGATAGATAAAGAGGAGTTTTGTTCGCTTACTTTACGAAAATGAGTGTTACACCTACGCAGAAGTGAGAGTTGCACAGAATCCTAGACAGAAATAGTAGATGCGTCTCCGTCGTCATAGATCTATTTATTCGTATCTGTTTGAAAATATCATCTTTAGTTTTACTTTCTTTGGTCTGGGTGATAAGTTTATTCCCCCAAGGGAGGTAGGGATGAGACCAACCCAAGACGGTAAGGCCTTTATGAGAGTCAATTTCTCTCTCTCTCTCTTTCTCTTTCTCTCCCTCTCTCTCTTTCTCTCCCTCTCTCTCTTTCTTTTCTTTCTTTCTTTCTCTATCCCCCCTCTCTCTTTCTGTCTCTCTCCTCCTCTCTCTTTTTCTCTCTCCCTTGCTATCTTTCTTTCTTATGCAGTGTATGTCTACGCGTGCGCGGAATGATGTAATATTGGAGCAATCAATATGCTTCCAATTTCCGCCCCATTAAGGCTGTGTTTTTATTGTAAAAAAATCCCCATATCCCGGCCTCGCTCCCTAAACACCATCAGACCGCAGGCCGGGAACTCTTCGCTGGACCTTTCCTATTCGAGACGTACGCCACAATATAACACAAAACAACACAATGCAGCACAGCAGTACAACACAACACGACCAGAAATTCGTACATAAACGCATATACACACACGCATATGCACAGGCAATACATACATGTATGCACACATGCATACTCACATGCACACACTGAAAAGTCCCTTTTAGTGGCGCGCACTCACTATGGACTATAATTGGCACCATTTGTCAGTGTGTTAGCGTCCGGCTGGTTCGTGTAAAACTTTTATGAAGAGCTGGTGACCAGGCCGCAGGGCTTGTAGTCCGAGCACGAGAGCGTTACGTATTCGGTTATGGGTGATCTGCGCTGCCATTCCGTCATTCGGGAGGACGTGGAGGTTCTTTATGGTTCCGCGACTCTAATGCTACGTGAAACAGCTGACTCTTGTGTTGTCTTCGGTTACCTGGAACAAATGATACCAACGTTGTGTTTTCCGTCTTTTGGGCTGTTGGGGATTTGTGGGTTTCCGGGATTCTTGGGTACACAGGTGGTTCTTAAAGTATGGGGTACGAAAATGTTGATTTTTTTGTATAAAATAATGCACCGCAATATTTTAATATTTCATTTTTATCTCTTTTGAACAGGAATAACAGGCGTGAACCTCAGCAACAACAGCAACAGCAGCAGCCACAACAACAGCAACCGCCCCCACAACCACAGACACCTCAACAGCAACAGCAGCCCCCCAGTTGTCAGCAGTCCCAGCAGCAGTCGCCTCAGTCGCAGCAGCACTCACAGCTGGACGTGGCCGAGGCCAGCCGGACCCCCGAGCACGTGCGTCATGAAGATGGTGAGTGTTGCCTTGCCGTGCCAGCGGTTTACTTGGGTATACTAGGGTATGCGCGATTGCAGATGGATGTTCTGCAAAGCGTTTTACCGTAGAATGCTAAGTTAAATTCTCACATGTTTTTGTCTCATTATATACCCGTTATGCACCAAACGCATAGGTATGTGACGATCGTCTTTGTGGCTCTCATATTTCCTGCTCCTGTTTCGCCATCGCTACCAACCATCGATTCGCATAATACCTAG